GCACAAGCTTGTTTTATTAAGATTTTGAACATACAAGCCTAGACTGACGACAGGCGCTATTCATCCGCTTAAATCAATGACAACGTCAATGTCTGTGATCTTACGACTCTCACAATTCTTAGCTACATGAGGCTTAAAAGTGGACTGGATTTCAATGACCCACAAGTAAATATTCAACTTCTGTAAAGCTTTACTTTATTTGGTATTGAAGTTCGCGTTTTAGACTCAATGAGTACAGTAATTGAAGGTGAGCAAAATTCCTCCCACAGGTTCGCGAGCAGACTTGTGTCCTGAGCTCTTTAATTAACAAATTAAATTAGATGGTTAGTTACTTCATTACAATTTCCCGTACTTTATTCTCCCAACCGAGGATGATTCTTACACAGCACTTCATTTTGCAGATCAATGCTTATTTGAAAAACCAAAAATTCATTTATTTCAAATGGCAGGCTTTATGATATTTATAATTAGCCCTAAAACTTTGACTTCAGCTTCCCCCATGAGTGGGGGGGGGGGTACATATATAGCAGTTCATTAGCTATCTTCTTGCTTCCCAGTATCTCTGGGTTTCCGTCGTTGTCTTTAGGACTGGACACCGAATCAGGTGGGTCTTCTCCATTTCCTCCTGTAGGTTACATAGGGAGCATGTGGGTTGAGTGTATACTCCCAATCTGTGAAGGTGTTTTGCCAGGCAATCGTTTCTGTCCACTGTTTCTCCTTTGTTCGAGCTTTAATTTCGTTGCACCTTGAGGTCTGGAATTCTCTCCTGATTAAGGCCTTCATTGTGTGGAAAGACATCGGGCAGTCCATGTATTGCAGAATCGTTGTCCCCTTCTTAGCAAGTGTGTCAGCAAGCTCATTGCCTTTAATGCCACAGTGACCAGGAATCCATTGTAGGACCACTGTTTTGTTTTTCTCTCTCAGCAGCTCACAGAGTTTTCTACATTCGTTTATCTCAACAACCAAAAATAGTATTCTATTTAATGATTTCGATTAGAGAATCAACTATAAAGACCTTTATAGATAGTGACGTTTAGAATGCAAGAGTAGAAGAGGCCCTTAATTATTTGCAATTTGCAAGACCCGTAAAATAGTAGATCGGAAAAGGTGGTTATGAAGGCTTAACCAATCAGCCGTGTATTCCTAATTCTTCAGCTAATTACTAAAGGGGTTTTTGTTGCAGCTTTACTGCCGATGTTGCTATGATTTCGCCTCAAGCAAACTATTCTAAGGCGTTTATTTAATTAGATTGGAAGAGTGAGTAAAATTCTCCGTTTCCAGATCATATGTCGGGGTGCATAACCAATGACTGTTGAAATGAAAAGGAAATTTTGGTTGGACTAACTGCGAGTTATTCAAGTCACTTAACACCTGTGTATTGGTTTAATGATCTAGAAGTTTTATTTCAGAACTAATTATTTGAGTTTTTCAAGTTAGTTTGACTTCAGATCTTATATAGGCCGATTGAGTAACTTGGCTGGCTTGGTAAAACCATTCAAGTGTTGGAATTAAAATGCGATAGACTTACCTCCACGTGGTGCACACTGGGCAACGTATACTCATACGGCAAAAAGTCTATTTGCTGGCAGTTGACTTCTCACTTCAAACTATCATGACCCACTGTATGTCATATTCGACCCCTTCCACAGCACTCATCTTACTTTTTCTCTGCCTCTGTGTCTGTTTGTCTCTTTTGCATCCTTGAATCACTTCTCTGTTCCCCCTCTCGAATTTTTCTTCCTTTGATGTTCCTCCCTCTGTGAAGCCCGAAGTAAGCTAAATGGCTAATGATAACTATTCAAAACGCCTGCCATTTGAAATACTAATATTGGCCAAATTAACTAGTTGTTTCTCAAAGTGAAATAATTAGATTCATTATTATATCAGTGAACGAGATTATGCCAACTACTTTTACAGATTTAATCCTTTAAGGGCAGGATTAGCAACTTTTGATATATGCACTCAGTCATACTCACGAGTGTCTCACAGCAGCAGACTGATACCGCCGACGCGATGAGTTCGAGTGGTGTATCAGGCTATAGACGTACTAAACATGTCTCAAACGGCAATAGCGCGCCTTCTGCTACGGGACTACCACCAGCAGAGCGTATTTTGAAAGAGGACCGCATGTTCCTAAGAGCGTTTAAGGGGTTAAACTAGTTTTCTAAGAATCAAAATTCCTTTTGTCTTTAAATATTCTATTTCAGAGAGAGGTGGAAAGCTTAATTTCTAATTTACAATAAAAAGAAAATTTTTCACGGGTTCGCGTATTAAGCGATCATTATTAATGCTCAATTCCAACGAGAACACGGTATTTTCATTTAATTTTACGTAAAAGTTTCAAGATGGAAACTTCGGTTTACATTAAAACTGAATATGCTGAAATTTTTGCTTACAGTGTTTACTTTATTGTGCTGTTATCGTATTTCTTTAAGCTACAGTAATACGGAAGAGTTGTACAAATATTGATTTGTGAGTGATCATTGGAAATCGATTAATCAAGGTATATTAGGTGAAAATCGAAAGGATTAAAAAATTGAACAATAGAATATTAACTCAATAGGAGATCCACTGTTTCACACTCCAAAATTCAAACATTTTAATTCCCCCCCACGATTTCTCGATCGATTTCCCATCCCGGGGTATTTTTCTCGCTCCAGCTCTGCCGCTTTTCTAGCAATTTTACGCCAAGCCCGTCAGTATGGTTTTCACGATTTTAGCAGAGTAAGGATTTTTTAAAATACTTAAATCAATACACTAACTTGCAACATGGGAAAACTCACATGAGGTCAGCTACTTTACCGCTACGTTAGCTCATATCAACTGGCTTTTAGAAGTACGCAAAATTTAGGCAAATTATATTTTGCTCAAAAAAAGTTCGAAAGAGGTTTATTGAGGAGCGGCGTTCCCATCAGTCAACTTCAAGGATTAGCTTCCATGGAATACTCTCCAAAACTGTAGAAGCCTCCAATAAGCCTACAGCCTAATATCAGACGGAGAATAATGTAATGGCAAAGATATATATATATATATATAATTTCGTTTTTTGTACTTTTTAATAAAAATATTCCATTTTACATACAGCAAGCAGGTGAATCAAAATTTTAGAAGATATGAAGTGGAATTTGGTTGTAGAAATGTGAATTACGAAAAGAGAAGTGGGGAGGGTTTCTTTCTCGAATCCCCAATGGACCGTTTCGTCCCTTCTTAGGCAACCTGGAGAGCATCGCTCCCCGGCAGGACCACCATATCGACGCCGCGATTAGCACGGACGCCCGACCCGCATGCACGCACGCAGGTCAGAGCTCCCAGCGAAGGCAGTTCTAGCCACCCGGCCTCCAAGTAGCTAGATTACAGGCGCATGCACCATGCCCAGCGATAAACGTACCTCCCTGGACAACTTATACTCATACGGCAAAAAGTCTATTAACTGACAGTTGACATTCTCATACGGCAAAAAAGTCTATTAACCGGCATTTGACATGACTTCAAACTACAATCACCCCACTGTATGTCAAATTCGACTACTTGACTTCAAACTACCATCATCCCACTCTATGCCATATTCGCCGGCAGTTGACTTCTGACTTCAAACTACCATCATCCCACTCTATGCCATATTCGAGCTACCATGACCCACTGTATGGCATATTAGTCTACTTCCACAGTACTCACCTCACCTTTTTTCTACCTCTGAGTCTGTATACTTCCATAGTACTCACCTCACCTTTTTTCTACATTTGTATCTTCCACAGTACTCACCTCACCTTTTTCCTACCTTTTCTAAGCCTCCACAGTACTCATCTTACCTTTTTCTCTACCTTCGTGTAACACAGTACTCACCTCACCTTTGTTCTACCTTTGTGTCTGTTTAAACTACCATGACCCCACTGTATGTCATATTCGACCCCTTTCACAGTACACACCTCACCTTTTTTCTACCATTGTCTCTCTACAGTATTCATCTCACCTTTACCTTTGTGTCTGTCTCTTTTACATCTTTGAAACACTCTTCAAACTTTGTGTCTGTCTCTTTTACATCTTTGAAACACTCTTTTGTTCCCCCCCCCTCCCCCTCTCGACTTTTTTCACTTTGATGTTTTCTACCTTTGTGTCTGTCTCTTTTACATCTTTGAATCTCTCTTCTGTCCCCCCACCCCCTTTTATTTATTTTAAATCTAGTGGATTCCCCCGCTAAAGTGGTTGAATTGGAAAAACAATGAAGCTCGAACAAAGTCATTTGCCATGACACCAACAATCCATGAACGGACTTTAATAGGTACTGATTATTGACCTTAATATTATGTCCGAAAAGAAAGATAAGAAATAAGTAAGGAAAAGAGAAAGATTTCCATCTCCAGCGACTAACTATCTTACGCCACATAAAAGCGATTTCTGGATATTTAGTGATACACTAGGCACGAAAGTTTAAAAATGGAATATAAAATTTTATCACTTAAAATAAGAGGTGCGCGATAGACTTACCTTCACGTGGGGGTAACCTGGGCAACGCATACTCATACGGCAAAAATGCCCATAAGCAGGCAGTTGACTTCTCACTACAAACTACGATTTCCGCACTGTATGTCATACTCCATCACTTTCACAGTACTCACCATACCTTTTCTCTACCTATGTGTCTTTCAGCCCTTTCACATCTGTCAATCACTCATCTCTTCCACCCGCCCGTTTCAGCCTCCTCCTCTCGACTTTTTGTGACTTTGTCTGCTCCTCTCCTCTGTGAAATCCGAGATCAACTAAAATTCTAATGATAACTAACCGACAGCCTGCCATTTTGTATAAATAAATAAAACATTAAAATAAAAACAATGAAAATACTAACGATAAGTAAACCCACAAAGCAAAGATGGGGCATGTAGTAAGCACCAAATTGAAGACAAACGTGATTTCTCTGTTTAATTTATTGATAAAAGAACCAAAAGTATATATATACACTCTAGTATAGTGTTATAAAAAATAAGTAGTTATCTCTAGTCAAGTCAGCGTTCTTTGAAGTATGGATGGTCTAATGCCTCTTTGGCGGTAAAGCGTACTCGATGATCATATTTGAGCAAATTTTCGAGCAAATTCAAAGAATTCGCGGTAACAATGTGCTCATTGTGAGAGTTCACAAATTCGTAAAAGGGTGTTGGCGCGTAGGGTCTAAGAATTCGCCTCACCTCGTGTCCTATAGTAATGTTATACTTACTCAAATACACCTGTAAGCTTGGAGTGCCCAGTGTCTGCATAATCTCCAACAGGGCATCGCTTCTATCCTCGCCATTGAAAAATCTCTCATAATTGAAAATGAGCTCGGCAAACACACAACCAAATGCGAACATATCGAGGGAATAATCATAGGTCTTAATGGAAAAAAAGAAAGAAATAAGATAAAACTAAACATTTTTTTGTGAAACTGCGATCTATTTGAATTGGTTAAGATATGTAGCATAGCAAATACTATTCCCAAAATTTGCAGTTAGCTAGATAGAGTTGATGGAGGGGAGGGGGAGGGTATCCCAAGGTCAGATAAGGCTCAAAGCCAGTACAATATGCCAATTATTATTACCAATAAGATGGGGAGTACGAGAAGATGAAATATACTTACCCTGTATCCAAGCAGCAATTCAGGAGCTTGATAATTCCTTGTGCCAACATGCAATGAATAGCTTAATTCTGGAATGTAGTATTTAGCTGAACTAAAGTCAATTAATCGGAGTCTTCGCCTGTTGAGATCTATTAAAAGGTTATCAGGCTTGATATCGCGATGCATAATGCCATTTCGATGGCATACATCAATGGCAATTAGTAGCTCGCGCATATAGAAGCGAATTTCGTCAGGATTGGCTTTACAAGCCATTTTTCGATATCCGCTGGGATCAATGTATTCTAAAATTAATGCCGGACCGCCAACCTATTTGCAAAGAAATAATCAAAGAAAAATAAAAATAATAAAAAATTGAGAACGTAGACAAATCCTAATAAGAATACAACAAGATTTATGCTATTTCTATGGCGATTTCAAAGCGAATACAAACAAACAAAAGATTTTGCAAATCCGTTTAAATTTCGATCAAGTGAAAAATATATTGTACTTAAATGATAAAAGTAGACATGTTGTTCATGAATGAGCCACACTTACATAAGTCATTTTGACGGCTCCAAATAGCCTGATGATGTTTGGAAATCTTTGAAGCCTCGTAAGCAACATTAGCTCATTTTTAAAGTCATCGAAACACTTCCTTCTCGACCACACCTTAGCTGCGCATATTTGACCATCGTTCATCCTCCTGCATTTGTAAACAGCACCAAAGCCCCCTTTTCCAACTTCTCCATAGATCCAGTACCTTATTTTTGACCAGTGGATATAAAAAAATCTTTGGTCCAATGCCTCCACTGAACGATTTGCATTGACATCGGCGTATATTCTTGAACGATGCAGTGTTGTCATACTTAATGGAAAGAACATACCATTCCAGTACCCCATCATGTTGGTCGAATAGAGCGCAACAGACTTAAATGTTAGTTGGAATAAGTCAAAACAAAATTATTCAATGAATAAGAACGGATTTATTTTAAATAAAAATTTTTAACAGTAATATATTTACATGAAAAATAGCAGCATGAATAATCTTAACCAAATATTTAATTTTCTTTTTAAATATGAATCTATGGATGGAAAATAAGCCCAGTGACTCGTGCACATACCAACACTGAAATATCCTGGTGTCAAATATTTCCAAAGTTTAAACTTTTAACATTTTTTGATAAATATATTGAAGACCCAATTTCGCCCTAAAACTTCGTCCACAATTACCTTGACGCACAATTCGATTTTGTTTCAACCACGCATTGTTCACTTTCGGGATTGATGCATTCATAGTACCTTGGTTAATGTGAGATTTTATAAGGCCAATAACTTCCCCCAATGATGTTGAAGGTCATTTCGGTGGAGATTAGAGACAGCCATAAGTTGCCCCCATAATAGTTGAAATAAAGAAGGTGATCCGCCAAGAGACTTAATGTTATTCCCTTGTGAATCGTTCTTTAATATGGCAAAGGAAAAAAGGAAGTGATTACACTCACCGGATCTGAAATAACGAATGAATCGCTATTAGCAAAATATATGCTTACTTGTCAGTGAAAATAGATGGCAGATTTGAAAATTCAATTGAATATTGTGAGCAAATTGCAAACGAAATGACTGAAAATCGATTTTGAGAGACAATTTAAATAGTGAGTTTACTTTATTGTCACATTGAGGACTAATACAGTTCTAAAAGAGTAATAAAATTGCCTTGGGTGCATCAAGTTGAAACTTAAGTATCTCGCAGAATTGGCCAATTGGAACTTTTTTGTTAGTGCCAGCCTTGACGTCCTTTTTCAAGACTTGGCACCCACGGAAACATGCGATTTATTTTAGATACGATTAAGACAAGGTCGCAGGGTTTAGACGCAAAGTTTTGTGGGGGTGAATTGAAGGGCAAAGATGTCTATACACAGCCTCAGTCCTGATTTGGCCATTTTGGGCCACAAAGTTGACTTATCGGGGTATTTTGCCATTATTCTGTGGGAATTTGGCTATCAAGACAACGGGTTAAACTTGTCATAACCGTTGAAATCCCCCCCCCCC